TCTCGTATACTCAATTCACCTAAACGATGGGTCATACAATTCAGGAGTGGCTCAAAAGGCTATCATAACAACCAATGAAATAACTAATTGGATTTCTTTATTCTGTAAAACTCATTTTTCCAATTATAACATTTGAATCTAATTGATTTTTTCAGTCGTTACTAGGATGGCCATTAGAGTCACTCCAATTTGGCCCTCACAACCGTGTGCAACAGAACACAAAGACTTGTCCGCATATTTAAGCAATCTGAATCATCTGTGTGTATACAACTAAATTACTTCACCACAACATACCTTGATTTGTAAAAATGAAACAACCAACTTCATGTACAAGAAACGAGATAATACACAGTAACTGATATCACTGGACATGCAGTTATTTCCGAACTATAAATCAAAGTGTAATGGATGATGGGGTCAATCGAAAGCTATATAATAATGTTGTTAAATAAGTCATAGGTGAAATACCTTTTAAAATAAGTGAAGTAATACGACCGACAATACTTATCTGAGATTCGTGTTTTCCACTTTTCGATCGATGTAGCACTTCTCTGTCAGTCATCTATAATAGCTTTAGTGGGACCACATCTGCAAATGGTAGGCAAGCGTATAGTAACACATATAGTTCTAAAAAATACAGTGGATATGAATACGTCATTCCCTACTCTTTTTCAGGTTCCCATCAACTTGCCAAGTCACCAGGCTCCGGATCTTCTAAAGTGTGGGAGCGGTAGCTATTCGGATGGAAACACCCAGACTGTTCTGCTGCTATGACTACCTAGGCCCAAAACGCGATTAACTAATTCTTAAGAGTACTACGCCATGGAGCTTAATTCTTAGCTTCCACACTGTAGATATACCCGTCACTCTAAACTTAGAGAACTTTTACCACATCCTATTACCCTCTTTTGTTCCCATACAAATGTATCATTTTACTAAACTAATATGCCTTAGGTTATTTTCATTTACTCTGATTTCATACACAACCACACAAACGCATGAAAACACATATGCCTTCACTCTTTCCTTGTAATCTTAAATTTTATCAGATTGCCCCTTAACGATAGCTGCTACTAAGATGTGGTGGTCAGGCTTGCAAATCATAACGATCCGAGTTATGCTGACAAAACACTTGTTCCCTTTAAGTCCTATGACATCAGAAAGGTCACGCGGATCGTGGTGAGGAAAAAAGTGGTTACCGTTATAGTGTAAATTGTTATGCTCCGATAGGGATCCGAGGACAAAATCAAGCTGCTGACTAGATGGTGTGAAAACAGTAAGATGTTTCCCCAGGGTGACCAGAGGTACCATGCCGATGCTGCCTTACTCATGAGGAAGAGTGTTTAAGAAAAGCATGACTCTAAAATTCGCTCTCCACTACACTACCTGCGCCCTTCTGGCACAGGTGGTGGCTGTATGAGAAACAAACCTAAATCCCAAACTTCAAAAAGGCCATGTATGACCGGTTTCAAGCAGATGCCGTCTGTGCCGGCAGCTGAGCACAACTATTATTGACCCAACTTCTTCAGGTGCGTTCAAGAACAAGTAACCTATAACTATGTGGGTGGTTCAGAAGTGTCAACCACCTTCAACTTCACCCAGATCATTATCAACTTTCCACATATTTACTTTCAAAACTATCTTCACGTATCTCAATCACTACTTCTAATCATCTCTAATTTTTTCAGCTCTTGATAATGAGTTGAGTTCACAGAACAGCACCCTTGGTTTCCTGAGATCGTACTTCAAAACTGCACATTGGGAATTTCAATTCCCCCACCCTCCGGCAAACCAGTTAGAAAGCTTCACCAGTCAGAACTGGTAACTTTGGCTATGCAAGTGTGCCGTACTTGTGAGACACGCATGCACAAACCAAGTGCGATTATTCCACTAAACCTCAACCAGCCAATAAGGTGGATCTTATAGATTCACTCTTTAAGTTTCGAGAGATTCGATTGACGGTTTTCATGGTGTTGGGATAGGCATAAAGTGTACTGTTCAGCTGAATCCCAGTTGACTCGCCTATCAGCTGTTCAAGTGAATGTTACAATGAGGACTAAAAGAGATATAGAAATACGCTGTTGTCGCTTCTTAATCTCTTCTTATGCACTCACTAACTGCAGTTCGGCCGAAAACTGTGCAGCCTCCTACTGATAGTTAAATATTCGGACGTGACTGGCGTACCACGTGATTCCAATTCACAAGAGGGCAGGCTATCAGTCAAAAGGCACTTTCAGAATATCAACCAGAGAAAGAGACAACTGCGATTACCGTACTCAGACAACCATCTGTTTCTGGGCAGCATGAACTTCCTACATAAAGGAACATATTGTCTGACATGGCGTCCCCTGATCTTAGCTCAAAGGTAGACAAAATAGATTGCATTACAGACAGTTACTGCTGGAGAGGATTAGTGGAAGATTACCGCTCCTTCTGGAGTACGTGTTTGGACATCGACCACGAGTACGACTGCACCTAAACGGAACTCGGAAAACTACAGCAACAATAACATTGTGAGCACAGCACAATGATGAGAATACTGAGGTTACTTTCGGTGAGGAACTGGCTAGGCAGTTGTCGGAACAGAACATAACCCATCCAGGCGAAGCACGACACCATCTCCAGTTTGCTCTTAAAATAGAGTTAAAAACCTCAGCTGATACTCGGAAAATGGTAAAAATAGGTCAGTGGTTCTCAGTAGCTACTTCTGAATTAATGGATGCACACTAACACATTCCTGGAGGCTCCAAGCACAATGAGGAATGGAAGCAGCTCATACGGAAGATGACTGAACCGATGGGTGGAAAACTTGGAGTAACAGATCAACCAACCCCCAGCTACTATTCCAACATCCGCTATCTAGTCGTATCCTGAATGGAACATTGATAAAAGAAGGCCTCCAACACTTGCTGAAGACGAGAAAGCTGATGGAACCTAAAAGGAGGAAGAGCAGCAGTATGAAATGATGGTGCCCGAGGAATATTGGTTAGGTTAACTAGTGTTACTTAGTGTATGAGGAACAGATATGACCTCTTCTGGCTAGCCCTAATCACTGATTGTTCCATTCTTTAAGAGAGGTAAGAAATCGTATTGCGACCACAGGGGAATCAGTTTGACGAAGATTGTGTCTATGATTTTCTAATTGTCGAAAGCATAGGTGGAGCTCAAAAAACGAATTTGGGAAAACCAAGTAGGTATCAGACCTTGTCATGGGCGCATCGACCGGATGTTCATTCTCCATCAGATTCTAGGACGCGATACGCCCAATACCACTTGTATTCCTCGACCTGAAGGTGACATTCAACTCCGTCAGCCGAGATGTCTAATAGCAGTGCTTCCAACTGAGAGGTACCGAGTAAGCACATCACATCTGTTCTCTGACAATCGTGGGTGTATTACAGCCAATGATGAGTTGTGCACGGTTAGTGGTGTTTGTCAAGGATATCCAATGTCTCCATTCTTCTTCACATTTATCGTAAGCGTACTTATGGAGACCTAGCTTGCGCAGCCTGACTTTACAGGGACTAGCCTTATCAAATGAGATTCCATAGTAGACCTACAGTGAGCAGATGAGGTGTGCCTGTTAGACCAAGAAGCTGACAAGATAGTCTTCTGGACACTTTGGATGGTGACTTAAGCGTCTTCCCCACCACCCGAAAGAAAATCCTTGCTTCAGGACATCTTTAATGGTGCCTTGTCTAACAATAGGGAATATAGTGGTTGAGTGTGTTGATCACTTCACTTACCTGGTTGGTCAGTGACCGATAAAATCCCTACACGGATACAAAAGCCTGGCTTGGCCTTCGTCAAATGACGCCACCGCGATGGTAACAGGCTATGTATTAAGAGCAGAGTACATTGCACTGCAATCTGATTTGTTCCACTACATGATCGTGTAATATGACCATTAAGGGTAGCTGATATGAGAAGGCTTCAAGTATTTGGCCACTGTTGCCTTCTTAGCATAGGTCGTGGCGCCAAGAAGTCAGTAACGCAGATGTCAGGTATAGAATTTAAGAGACAAGAGGAAATTTAATTGTGAACCTTCATCTACTTAGATGGCTGGAACATGTGTTAAGCACAGTTGTCTAGACACCGTCTGCCTTTCTACACAATGCGGCTGAAGTAAGTTCGGGTTGGCGAAAGGTTAGAGGTGATCGAAATGAAACATGGCACGAAGTCTTTGACTGCTGGTCTAAGGCATGTAGAGAAATATAGACTTCTCAGTTGGGGTCCACGTGATAGCAGAAACCGGTGACTGGATAATCTAGATATTATGGGTAGGAATCGATTGCGATGGCGTAGGTGTTTTCACACATTATTTTCATCCTAATCGTTGTATTGTGTTTCACGATTGTCTCATTCCTGATCGATCCCTTTTCACGACTTTTTTCCCCTACTTTTCATCTTGATGCATTTTCGATTGATGTGCTGGTATAAGTTCTGGTAAATTGGACCATTATGTAGTAACAGCAAATCCGATGTTGATATTATATCTCGATCAGATCTCTACCGTCTATCGACATAGGACTGAGTAACGGTTCGAGTTGCCACACCCCATATCACCACATCAAGTAAAAAGGCAGTAAAGTGTAAAATGAAGGAAAGGAAGTTCAGTCAAAAGAAATATAAAGTACGAAAAGAGACAAAGGAAGAGTGAGAAATGGTGAGATTCGGTACAGTGTTAAGATGAGGATAATATGTGTATACATCTGTGCCATTGACTTCGGTTCTGAGCCATATCGCCTACAGTCTTCAACCGCTGGTTCCTATTAGCTCGTGCATGTGGGTGTATCTACGCCACTGACATCGATTCTGAGCAATGTTACCCAGAGTCTCCAACCACTGATTCAATATATGAAACATGAATTTATAATTTTACACTTAGCGAACCCGACTGCTGAACACCTTGAAGATTATTACAACCTACTAGATGTATATAAATAGGTTTATGAGGAATATATCAAAATCTGACTGAATGAAACGAAGAAAAGAGGCTTAAAAACATCAGAAATTTTTATATTAATCAAAAAAAGTGCATCATATCAAAGGAATCAACTAGAACGTAATCAAATCACTTTTTTTAGTATTATAAAAACTAAAAAAAGAATTCTATCAAACGTGCATTACATGAATAAATATACACAACTCATGTGCTTATGTAAGAATGCAGAAGTATACATTGCGAAAAAGTAATAATAATACAGATTAAATGCATGTATCAGCAGCTACAGAATAAATAGATATGATGAGATATATTGTATGGAAGTAATTGTGTTATGAGAATATTTATATACAGGTTCGTAGTAAAGAAATGAAACATATACGTTCATGGCTATTGATACTTTGTAAGCAGTTTATAATAATTTATTAAAAAATTAGAGTTTATGCGATCAGTGTATATAGGACGCTGATATTCTCTTCTTTTAATACAAATCTGACTCATCTAATTCATTTTCTCCTTCTACAAGCGAGTCACTGATAAATGGATAAAAAAATCACACGAAATGTAATAGTGACTCCATTTAATAAAAAGATTACTGATATTGGTTTTATAAACAAAACAATCAGCATTTATGGTTAATTACAATATACTGATGAAAAGTATGAGTAATAAGGAGACCAATAATACTGATCCGCTAGTTTCACTAGCAAAATCAGTGGTCTAAACACTTGAGTGTCGTTCTGTTTGTCTCAGGTTCGGTTTATGGGTAACTTACATGAATGTTTACGTCACTTGGATGAACTGGTGTACCATATATTGGTTGATCAATTTTCAAACATCAGTGTGCAACTCAGGCACTGTAGTGGAATAAAATTCCATGTTAGATTTGTTTATTTGTTACAGCACACTATTATTTACTGGATATAATTATGAGTAATAATTCATGTCTAGTCAGTTAGTTCATTTTTGTGTCGGGGTTCAAACTGAGTAATCTTGGTTGGATAGTTTCCAACGGGAAACTTGATGACATCATACAGTCAGGAAGCTCAAAAGTGTCAGGTGTAAGAAATATAACTGTGAACAATACGTTTTACAGATATTTTCTGATAATCTCATTTCAGTAAAACATGTCTTATTATTTTGAAAGTAGTGACAAAAGCTTATATTTGTAGACAGCAATGATAATATACGATTATATTATATGACATCGCTTACTCTTTTGTGACCAATCAATGAATACAAAATATGAAACATACCACTGACTGAGACACTACCATAAGAACTTTAAATCAACGTAAAATGACATCATGTCTAGGAATACCACCATTATCAAGTGCCTATGAGTATGCTTATGCACCGAGATTTGATATAGAACAAAGGGTTGGTCAGAGAACTGTAGATCGGGTACGTGATCCACTTGATATAATTCTTGGTAATTAGAATTTTAGAAACTATTTCAGCAAAACAAATCCCTGTATCTGAATTACATGCGGATTTTTCTCCCTTCTGACAAGCTTAAATAGATCAAGGTTTATGATACTACCTGACAGCCCAGACAGAATTAAGTGGAGGGAGAATTTGGATTCATGGATCATTTCTTGAAAGTTGGGTGCGTAATCCAATGAGCCATTTGTTACTATCAATCGTTACCTAGACGATTTCATTTGAGGTTGCTCCCACCGCTATCCACGAACATTGCACAGTTTGATCGTCATACTGCATTTAACCTTCTTGAACTTTTTCCGGTGCTCGAAAGAAGCTGTGAAAACCGGCATGCTCTCCTCGATTCCTGATAACTTAGCCTATGACGATGTTGGTAACAATAGGGAAAAGACAATTACACTACATCAGAATGAGAACCACTGACAAGTTCCACCACCTGTCGTTAACTGCATGTCTAACATGTAAAGAAGGGTAACAAAAAGTCAGTGCAAATTCACTTTATCCATTGGACGGTAGAGGCACAACTGCTTCAGTCAAAATCAAAAGGATACAAATTTTTCTAAGAATAACTCGGTTCATCAGCAACTGGTCACTCTGCTTCACCTAAATCCTTGTTCAGAGTCGTTTCTAACAGTTAACTTAAAACGGTAGCCATTAGTGAAAGCTTTTGTGTTTACTGTTGCATCAAGAATAGTGTCTGCAAACTCAGAAGTAAAGACGAATAAGATTGCCCACTAATTTTGATTACAGTGATAAATGAAATGCATTTCAATGTCATACAGGCCGTGATAATAACAGACCAAGAGGTTTATGGGGATTGGTCGATTTAAAAGCTGTATTTGTTACGGACTGACATCAATCAGTAAACGCGATCTGATGAGGAGTCCCGTGCTACAACGAAACAGCTATTGTGCGCTCTTAGGTTCTGAACAGTTCTCCAGCTGACATGTGGGCATTAGCTTTAGATTAGTTACCATCTTTCAGTGTGTACAGAATGACTTTCAGGACTAGTTATTAAAGTGTGTAAGGAGAAATACAGTCTTTCAGGATAACATATAATAGCTTATCCTATGCAGAAAAGAAAGATCCTCAAATTTAACTTTATAGACCTGATTTGTATCTGGAGGCTACCTTTTAATCTTTTCCGCCCTTCACTTTAAACTACTTGCTGTCCATAAAGTAGTATCAACCACAACCTTATACATACATTGCACGTGACATTGCGTATGAATTTCCGCTAGTGTATTTGTATCTATCATGTTACAATTCTAGGGCATTAGCGTTTACCACCATTTACACCGCATCAGTTTTATTCGTATGTAACACTGTTCAAGACAAATAGCTACCCCTTGATGTAGTGATCGAGATTCCATATCACAACGACCAAACGAGTTATAATGGCTGGAAATATTGCTTTTTGAGGCCATTGTGTCAGAAACACACACTAGACGGCTAGAAGACTAAAAGCAGTTATCACCATAGTCTAAATAGCATACGGTGGGGATTTGGGGGCTAAATTCTATTGCTGACTGGACGGGAGTGTGACAGCAGTAAAGAATTTCAACGTACGACAAGCATGCCGTACTGATGCTGTATTCCTTTTAGACAGACAAGAGTTTAAAAAAGATAACGGATAAAATTAGCACACTGTACGCTTCCCTGCAATTGTGAATATGAATCTTCCAGCTGAATTCAACGGCAGAACACATGAACTCCATGGTCATGCATCACAATAAAAAAAATCCATCTTCATGCCTGCAGTTCAGATGATACAAAGAATGAGTCCCACCGAAAGCTGGTATTTACGTTATATGGAGCTAGTCGTCAAGCCACAGTCAAACTAGCAGGTGACTTTAATGCTCAAGTAGAGCAGCTAAGTCCATCAGAAAGGCACTTTAGAAATATCTGTGGTATCACATTTCAACGAATGAGTAACAGTGATCGTGTCGAAAAAATCTTCCAACAATCACTTCGTCCACTAACTTCAAACAGAAGGACAGACACTCATTTAGTCTCCAACAATATCATATAGATCATATTGTTGTAAGTCATCGTTGGAAGGGATCCATGAGAGGATGGACGCTACTCCAGTAGTACATGCTTCAAATACCAATACGCGTTAGTACAGACACACGTTGTGCGTGCCCCTCCATGAACGTAAAAAGCAAACATCAGTGAAACCTTTGTGTGCTCAAATTGAAGATGAGAACGCCAAGCGTGTAACTGAGAAGATACCTGGGCATTTATTTGAAGATGGCAGCAACCATCTTTATGCAGTTTGTACTTACATTCAGTCTGTCGTAAAAACAGCTGCTAACATACATCTGATGCTTAGGAAAAGTCAATGGATTTTCGTAAAATCACCTGAAGTGATTGGTGCGAGAAGACTCATCCCACCTGACCCTGACCAAGATAAGCAATAGCAAATTAAACGCAAACCAAGAGTCTTCGAAATGAAAGAGAACAGTAATGGATGGCTAAAGTAAACGAGATGCAGAAGGTATCACCACCAGGTAATACTTGACAGTTATTTCGTCTTATTAGGGATAGTGGCAAAAAAAAGACAATGGTTAACGAGACCGTCACTGGAAGGAGGGGTCCCGAATAACATTTCGCGACAGTCGGTTGGAACGCTGTTCTTTTGTTCACTGACGCACTCACAGTGTCATTGGCAGGATAATAAACACTTAGCCCTATGAAGTTTGTAACCCTGAAAACCATTATTTTTATTTCCTAATATAGTACTGTTACTTAGACAAGTCTCATATTTTGACTCATAATGATAATTAATAATTATAGTACCTTTATTCCCAACAATATCTTTCATACAGTATGGAATTCTCTGCAGGTAATAAATTAAGAAATTTACTCCCAAGATAATATTTTCAAACAAAATGACTACGGCGTCTGAATGATGTTCATAAAAACAGCATCAAATTTAATAATGTGAAGCAGCCGGTTGGTGCTGGATTAGAGTATGGTGCTTAGTGGTGGTGGTTCATCCAATCAGTAGACGAATGTGCTATTCAAGATAGGTATCCGAAATTGAAATATGATATATTTTTGTTCATTCAAAAGTCTATTTCTGTCTAATAAGACATTTCTCCTTAGTTTTGTTACTTACTTCGAAAAACGACTACTTCAGAACATTTTAAAAATCCGCAACAGTACGTGATACTTCTTGAGGACATAAGTGACAGATTAAAACAGACTGAAAGGGAGGAATTCGATACGATATGTCTGGTGGGGGACTTCAATAGTAACTCTAAGTTCAACCAGACCGCCAACACTGAGGGGTTATACGCTTAGTCTGAGTTTAGTAGCATTGTAACTTTTAGTCTTGGAACCCATGTAAGAATTTTAAAGGGGTTCAAAAAAAGGTAGTCAAACGATAATATATAATCATATCTTTTTCTTAACAACAATAGGACAGATTTCTTACAAGAACTACGTTGGAATGTTATCTGTCTGTTCTTAATACCCTCGCAGTAATTTTTTAGGTTAAGTACAGTAAAAGGCTGAATTCACAGACATCTACACGTATCAAGTTGGTATGCGGTTCAGAAATAAGTTAAAGATAAAAAAATATGTACAGCTGAAAATTATGAACAAAGGTCTTTTCATACCTATTTAACTAATGAAGTTATATTTTTTAAAAAGCCAATGATGATAACGATTCAGAATGCATATCAGAATTTGATTTCGAGTAATGCATCAAGGAAGTAAGTTACATTAATAAGATAAAAACTGTTACTTACTTTAATACACGAAGGGAGAAGAATAGTATACGACGCAGCAATCGGTTATGAAAAAAGTAATTGAATGATGCTAAACAACCTGAACTGTAGGGATCGGAGAGGTGATCTGGACGATAACTGAAGAATAAAAAGATACACATAAACTTAGAAAAAGAATGAATTCTGTATATGCTAACTGATAAAAAAACATATTTCAAGAAAGAAATCAAAAACCTTTTGCAAGAAATTTAGAGTAATGATATTAGGAATTATTTGTTTGCTGATACAATTGTTGATTTTCGAATGGACAAGAAATGAATGGTATTCCTTGACTTCTGTTTATGCATCCACTGTCTTGATGGCCGGAAATCTCGGCCCCTGTTTCATTGAAATCTATGTCCAATTTATCTACAATACCATCTGCACTACATAGTACTTAATCGACTTAAGCAGTTCATAACAAACAGAATTTCAACCCTTGTGTCATGACGCTGACTCCAAGCAGTGGTGAGCGAAAAAAGTTTAGATGAGGATAGCTGCAGCGATAACCTACAGAAACCAGTAGCTTAGTCTACCAAAGGAAACTGAGACAAAAAAACCCATAGGTTATTGAGACTATAGTGCAGTTTTGTAGATGGATGAAACATTTCAACTGACTCTCTACCACTCTTCAGTCACCCCTATCTAGTAGCAAAAACAAGACAGCCTTCACCTCTCGCAGAACTTCGAGACGTTAGTAATTCAAGATAAGTAGTTGTAGGCCACGATAAATTTACACCAGAGGAAATAAAGGACCGCGTCAAAGGATTGTTGAAAGGACTGACTGAACCCGTACCTGATGAAGAGGAACTAGACATGACCCCTTTGACAGGTCTAAATCACTGATTTTCCGAATCTTAAAGATAGAACGAAACTTACTTTTGTGAAAGAAATAGAGAAAATAACCTGAAAAATTTCTAAAAACCTAGGTTCTGGAGTCAGTCAACTCCAAAAGCTCAAGATGTCCCTAAAAAAGCACGTAGGTTTTCATACATGGTCTTCGGAGTAAACACCAGACCTTTATCCTTCACCAGGTCTCGGAATACAGAAACAGTTACCAGATACGGATACGACTTTTATTTCTTGACTCGAAAACATCTTTGCTCTTCCTATATGGTAGTGTCCATCAGTGAGAAGAGTACTCAGGTAGACTCTAATAAAAGTTATTTACTCGAACAGCTGTGGCTGTCAGAGCCCATAATGAGCTAATAGGTGAATTTTTGAACAATGAATTGTATCTGTCCAAAAATTCCACTACTTCCATTCATACTTTACTACTCATCATTTGATATAACAGCCAATGGTATCGTATGACAGTGGAAGTGACCATTACTGGCATTTAATGAAAGACTGTGAATAATATTAGGACTAAATGTAGAGTACTGGGAAAGAATATAAGCCAGTGAAGTAATGAAGGTTCATTAAGTGTCGTAGCAAAAACACATTACACATACCGTTGAATCGATGAACAAAGATTCAGTGACGAAGCTCTCGCTTTGAATAACTACAGTAGTATTCAGGAATATTATTCTGTCCCATCATATTGTGTAGTTGTTATCACATGCATAGCTGTGGTTGGTTTCTCAACGTTACTGATCTTAAAAGGAGACTTAGTTGGGTTCCCATATTCTGTTAACCTGATTGACCCCGACCGGCTAGCTTGACTTCATAGTCCCTGTAAGGCATTCGGTGAATTAAGTTTTTCTTATCATTTATTACAGGGTTCATTGGGATTTTACAAGTACATTTCCTTTATAATCCATTTATCCAATGCTCAATTTATTTAAGTTCATCAGAGCGAATTTTGATCCTAAAAATCACAAAAAAATTTACCTCAATGCCTGAAACTAATAATTCCAGTGATTTTGTCAACATCAAGATCAAAAATTCGACCTGATGGAATTTAATAAATTGAGCACTAAACAAATGGTTCAAGATCAAAAATATTTGCGAAATCTCAACGACGTAGAAAAAATTTATGACATTTCGAGACCTAATGGAAGTCTCTTCTCTGCAAAAGTAGAACACATGGTACTGTTAAAGCTTATAAACCAGGTTGTCCCATAAGATCAGCAGTTAACTTCATGAACACCGAAACATATGAACTAAGTAAATATTAAAGCATCGATATGATACACTATTAGTAATTATTCATATTCTAGATTAAACATTTCATATGAAATGGAGCAAAGGTCAAATAATACTAAGATTTTTAGGAAGTGAATAGTTTTGATGCAACAAGCTTATATACTCATGTGCCGATCAGTATAGGTCTGAAAGCTATTAGGAATGAACTTCACAATGATCCTGAACTCACTCACAAAACTCAAGTATCGACTGAAGGTATCATATCAAGAGTTTCGTCTCACCTTCGCGCTTTCAAATGTCAATATTGAACGCTTAAACGAACGGGAGGAATAAAAATGGGATTACCAGTATCCCACCTACTAGCAAACGCTTTTATCTACAGGTTCAAATGTATAGCTCTTACAACGCTCAATTCTACCCCCAAAATGTGGTGAAGATATGAGGACGACATATTTACTGTGTTGAAATCCGAGTATATCCATAGCCTCTTCACAAAAATAAACTCACTGCCAGATAGGATACAATTTACTTACCAGTTGAAGATAAACAGGAAAAATTAGCTGCTGCATTGTAAAATAAAACAAAAACAAGATGATGGTCTAGAAAAGTGTTTACAGAAAACCATCTCACTCCAACAAACATACAGACTTCGGTCATCTCATTACATAAATTAAGGTAAGTTTAGTTGAATGTGTCAGTAATCGATCTCGGAGTCTATCCAGTGAGTAACAATCCTTCTGAATTTATTCAGAAATCGTAAGGTATTTAAAAAAAGTGGTCATATGAGTAATGACTGCAACACAGTTAAGGAGTTTAAGGTCTGTATGCCGTTGCCATATAAAAAACAGACGCCAGAAACCCAAATGGTATTCTCATTAGGGTTGGGATTGGGGTGGCATCAAAACATAAAAATCCACTCATACATAAACTTTGTGAGGATTTGATTGGTCACATAATTAGACAAAATAATTTGATTCTCCAAATGCTTCATAATGACTGTGAAGTCAAGTACATACGTAAAATTAGTCGATCGACGTCAGTCAGGTTAGCAGAACGTAGGACTCTCCCTACTAAGATCAGTAATCTATGGACGAATTCAACCATAGCTATCTATCCGACAACAATTAACCACACAATAGGGTGGGACAGAGTAACGGTCCTGAAAACTACTGTTATTAATTGGAGGGAGAGTTTGATCATCGAGTCAACGACTGATATGAGTAATAGGAATGATTCAAATTGGATTGTATAAATACGAAATTCATTATACCGATTAATTCAAACAATGAAAAGTAGCAGATCTAACAGAAAGAAAAAAAAACAGGAGCTTATGTGATTGCTTTGATATAATTATGAGCGATAAATCGTGCTTGAAATATTATGTGGTAAATAATACTGCATCTGTATGCGCTACATGAAGTAGACCAATCTAGTATGGAATTAAACTACCATAGGGGCAAAATCTTATATTTGTTGTAAAGATTTTAATTTATATTCAGTTAACGTTAGTTAAACATGAATTTACCCGATAAATCCATAGTGATGATGGCTGAGTACAATACTAAAAGTCGAATTTCGTTAGCGAGCACAGATTTAACATAAAAAGGGACGTTATCGAAACTCATCGCTATCGAACTTAAACTAATGCTATCGAAAGAGATCAATCAAGGAATGTCACTACTTCTTGAGCTTGAACTCTGAAGATGTGTGTACATGCGCCTTGATAATAACAAAAATTACAATCGAAGGACGTCGTGAGTCCGGCCAGATGTAGATATCAAATTTGTGGTTAAAAAATTACCAGAACAACAAAAAACACTCGCCTTGAAACACTCTTTTGTGAATTTTAACTGGGTTAAGGGATAAGGTTAAGGTAAACTTTGGTCAAGAAAGTCAGTGGATCACGGTTACCTAATCCAAGCTAATAGATACACTTAAACATACTCCAGTAAACTGTAAGTACAAAGAAGGTTAGAAGTAAAGACCAACTGGTCGACAGGAATTTATAGAAAGCCTAATTGGACAGGATAGTACTTGAATTTGTACGGTTTTTGTCCAACGAAATATATGAGAGGCTTAGTAAGATGTTTATTCAATAGGATCCCATGTATTTGTACATCCGATACAATGGATGACAAGAGGAAACTTCTGACTGGTGCACTTATGGAAAACGGATATCCAATACAGTTTGTGAACCGTTGTAGAAAACAGGTAACCCCGAAGCCTATAATTTCCTCAGTCCCAAAGGATATATTTCTTAAAGTACCACACCGACGGTAAACGAGTAGTATGATATTGAAACAGAAATTAAATTCTGTTATCAGTAAAACATACTACGCAGCTGAGCTTATCATTATTGAGATAACAAAACACCTGCTTAGTCACAAATCTCAACCTAGCACAAATGATTATGTCACATCCCACTGTGTTTACCAATTTACATGTATATGTGGGCACACATACGTAGGGAGGGGTAATCGTACAATGCAAACTAAGGTGGGTGAACATATACCTAAATGGTTCGAAAAACAACTTGGCACACAAACTTTGATTAGTACAGGTGACAGACATCCATCCTCATCCACGGCAAAACATGTCATCGAAATGAATCACAAGGTTAATATGAAAACAGCATTTAAGATATTATATAGGAACAGTCAGGGGTGCATACTGAAATTTGTCGAAGCGTTGACTACTCGTAAACTAGAGCCCACCCCCGCCCCGTTGTGTGTACAGAAACAATTTGTTGTTTCACCTAATTTACCTTGGCAATCCTTATCTGATTATATTACCAAGACTAGTGTAACAAACTTTTCACATTCATTATATTCCATCTTTCATTTTCATATATAAATTGACTTGACTAGTAAATGTGTGATCAGACTGTACGAAAAGTATTGCGCAAATACATCACATCTTTCAGATAATCTTAGTCTTCTAATAACGTGAGTTTATTGCGCTATCCTGTTATGCAGCTGTGCGACATGGCCGTTAAAAGCAGAAGGCATAAAACAATTACCAGGTTTTCATGGTATTGCTCGCATTTGGTGGAATTACCGTGTAAGCAATCTGGAGCTCGGGAGAAAGGTATTAGGCAGGACAGGTAAGTCGGTCGATGAGGTTGTGAACCTCCATCGACTGATATGGCTTAGACATGTACTACGCATGCCGAGCCACCACCTACCTCGACGTACCATGCTAGAAGTTGGATTAGGTTGAGAGAGGGTTCGGAGTAGCCAAGCCAATACCTGGCACCAGTTCTTGAAGTCCCTTACTGGTGGTATGAGTTGTGAGGAGATGTAGACTGCCTGTCTGGGGTCCGCGAGACGAAAGGAATCAGTGGTTGGAGAGTTGGTGATATGGCTGAGAACCGGTCATTGGGGCAGATGTATTCACTTCTGGACATCTTTCAAATCTTGAATAATCGCATTTACGTTCTTTTCAAGATTATTTATTCTCCTACATAAATTTGTCTATCTTGATATCAGACGTTTTTTTATCCACCTGTTCTTTGTGTACTACTGAGATGTGTGACAACTTGAGTCGATGCATTTGTGTGCGAGGTTCTATGTTGGCTTTGTCTGTCTTGAAGACTGGAACGGTGAGTAGAACATTTTGAAAGGCATATCGAACTTTCAGCTGTCTATCAGTTACTCAATATCTAGTTGTGACCAGAGTGGTATAGTAAGACTGCGCATTCAACTCTTATTGAGTGAAGGATAGTATTTAGCTAGAAATGAAGAATAAACAGAGGAGTCTAATTGGTTGTAGACAGAACTTTAAGATGGCAGTTCAGAATTATTAGTTACGTGAACTAGAGTTAGCCACATGTCAACCTCTATGATCGGTTTCTATTGCCAATTGTACAAATCTACATGCCGAAAAATTCCCTTGTGAAAACATAGGAATCGGACTAGCCAACATATTCTCTGGAGTTAGAGGCTCAAACGTTATTCGCTGTCCAGCACAAGTTTGAAAACAGAAAACCTGAGAACGAGATAGGCTCCCAGACTTGCTCTTAGTTGCAACGACCAAATATTTACTGTCAGATCCTTGAATACAGGTATGCTTTGTAGTGCCCACGCTAGTAGCATTTTGGATGTGAAGACATCATTTGACTGCATCGATGGATATTTTTTACTAAAGTGTCTCTCACTGAAAAGATTGCATAGTAAGCATCTTACTTCAAGATTCGTGATGATATCGTAGGCCAAAATGAACTATGCCAAACAGTTTTCATGAAAGGCGTCCACAATATCCGTCCTTATTTTACTTTGTCATGCAGCAGATCACACTTTTCAAATGACTTCACCGTGATCGACTTCTTTCTTTCGGTATTTCTAAATCCATTTGGAGTATGCAGATAAAGCGTTTTCGCTGAGTGGAAATGGTGACAAAAGTCTTGAAAGTAAGTGTATAAGTCGTACTTTACACCAGTACAACACTTTGGTGATCAAACTAAGACCTGGCATGAATGTATGAAGTCACTGACAATTGTTCTGAGCAATGAAGACAAATATAGGTTTCGTCAATGCAGTCTTTCAGATAACCTAATTGATAGTCAGGAACTTCAGGTGATATGAGACAGAACTAATAGCAGCGGTAAAGATGCATTCAACATATTTCATTCACATCTCTAGGATCTTATCACCACATATTTTTTCAATGCAGTAAACTAATTCAGATGTTATTTCTGTCTATTGAGTAGAACATTTACAGTTAAGAATAGCGTGAACAAAATCGTATAATTACATCTAAGATGAGTATCATGAAAGCGTTTATGGCTAAAAGGTCGTATCGCGTCTCTAGTAATTGAGAAATGAAGACACCAAGAATTATTAGCAGAATCCTGTGTCTAAACTCATCCTTAAACGTAAATCTTTGGGGTGATTCAGAAAGTTCATAAATCTGTGTAATTGTGTGAATGCTGGTGAATGTATGACGGATAGGATTCCAAAGTGTATAACTCAATATACAGCTGTATATGACAATATGGGCTACTTTGGGATATTGATCTGATTGTAAAATGCCTCGACACAAGTAATTCTGCACCACGCTTGCAAAACATCCCCATTCCCAGTTGAAGATATCCAACCGCTGCGTTCGACCGTTAGGCAGTCGATGGTAATACCGTGTAAGTAAATCTCAGGTCAGATGGTGAGTATTTTTAAGTGTGCAGACAGGTCCTTCAATAGTTGAAATGATCTCAAATAACTGACTTCGGTGTTTGTCAGCCCTTAGACTGGTCAGAAATTGATTGTTGTATGAAAACACAGCGATATGGAAAATGATTTTTCTGGATTAGTGTTAGTTGATAGATTAAAAATCCCTGAGTGGGGTCCAACATATTATACGACTCATTGCTTCAGATGTCATCAAAAAACGGTGGGAATCGATAATAGACATGATCATGCTGTTACTTTTTTATGACAAAAAGTAACACGCGTTGCTAAACTCTCTACTATCCTGTAAGAATTACCATCTAATTATTCTGTTATTTACCTTTCCTTTGTTATATTTTTTGATGCACGCTGCATCAACTTTTTGTTTTAAAAAATATACCAAATGTTTTGTCTATGATGAAAAGAAAACTCACCTGTATATACGACACTGATCAGGTATAATTTCTTCACCAATAACCGTCCAAAGCTGAGGTGCAATGTCTTCGTATTTATCCACATAAATGGAACAAAATCTGGAAATATAGTGCTTTACAAGCTGAAGGAAAGTTGACAGAAAAGATTACAAAACAATTTTATAATAAATCAGACTTATTTGACGTAATTCAACTGTATGTAACAAGTTTTTAAAAAAGTACATAGAATCGAATTTAAGCTATGACGTCGAGATAACTTGATTAGTTCATTCGAAATCGACATCGTGACAGATGACGCAATAAAATACTCAAGAATATGATATCATTCATACAAAGTGTTACAATTTAACGATCGATAACTACGGATTTTTCATTCGGAGTTATTTTACAATGTAATCTGAACTTTACTGAGCAGCTCATTCAGTTGCATGCGGGTGGTTAATCAGCCTTAATAGATCATAAGTCCAAATGAGTCATTTTTCGGGATAAGTGGTCATTTACTGTTTCCTATTATTGGTGATGTATACAAAACAATGAAAGTACTCCTTATGCGTAGTCACTTTCAAGTTGTATTTTGCATCGTTATTTACATAATAGTTTATTCAGTGGTTCTAATTTCAGTGAGGAATATCCGAAGTTTCGTACGATATGCAACAGACTTCATTAAGTATGGATGCTACAACGATGTGAAAAACTGAAGAAAATTATTGACCTGTAAACGTCTTTAGAAAGCTACTTCCAACAAGCAAAAGGGAGACTCCTGTATGATAACTGGAAAGAGTTGATCTACAAGAGAGTCAATACTCAATAAAGTAACTTTTATAAGTGATCAAATTGTGAACGAAGTCTCAGCCTTGCTAGAAACTTTTTATCTTTCGAAGTACTGCTAGTCACTGCCAAATATACTAAATTCTAAGATCAAGTCTAATCAATCAATCCTTCAAGCAGACCTATTTTTAAATAGAGGTGACACATGATCAACTAAAAATTCAATAAGTAAATGAACAGTATGAAAGGAGAATTAGTAGGTGTACGTAAAACAAACTTAGAATGTTCAACTTCTAAAGTAATATAAATGGTGATACAATTCGATTAACATCACCTGATATATGCATGTAACTTCGGTATTTGTGTAGGAATACCTTATCAACTAAAAGTCACGTTACCGGAGTATATCTATTTGGACAAACAATTGACATTTTGTACAATTTCGTTTAACTTGAAACTTGTACAACCCAATTAGCCAATTTCTTCGCCAGTTACATTACAAAATCTGATGAACTCTTAGGCCAACACCGAATTGCAACAGAATAGAATGGACAATTAGAGAGGTTAGGCTAAGAAGAAAGATTTATATGAGGGGAGGATTTAGGCACTGTGGTGGAGTGTAATTCGTACTGAATATTTTTATCTGTCGATAAAGCACTCGGTGATACAGCGTTAATTACTAAATGTGACGTTTCGAGCATAAATTATTGCTCATGATCAAAGGAATTTCCTATTTGGTTTATATAACTTAAATACCTTCAGTTCTTTGAGTTTAATGGTAGTGCAATTTTCCAAATATCCGATATCGGTGCTGGGCCATTCGCATACCGTATGTTTGGTGTTGATTTGATGAACAGGGATTCACTAACCACCTCTCTCTACCTTACTACAATAATTAGGAGGACTGCTGCTTGGTCTCACCTTATTGTGTGGTGTGTATAAGTATATAGATAGCGAAGGTTGAGTTTTTCCCAAGGAATGACAAATCCCATCAATCTGGACCGTTATGTAGTAAGACCAAGTTTGATATATTTTTATTTTCGTATCTTCCAATCAAACTTGAGCATTGCGACCTGAGATGTGCAACAGTCTTGAGCTTAATACACTCGAGAAATGTTTGGTTTCAAATTCCCAAAATATTTTCTTAATTTTAGCTCTGCTCCCTTCAAAATCACATATCGGAGGAAAGTATGAAGGGTCATGTACAGCACATGTCTCAATGAATTAAAAGGATTCAAATTCATAACCATTAACTGACTACCCAAAAAAGCTTGTGCTTAACTTGTGCATAATCTATCAGATGGCCTCAATTAACCAACGGTGATCAAGAAAAGGTAAGAGAGAATAAAAACATAATTTTTTACTTTCACTTATTCTCCTTGATTAAGTTTTACAAATGCATTGAAGAAGCAAAGTTACCAGCAGCTTATACATACCTTACTTTGTGACTGAGTGGATACCTTGACACATATGGTGAGTCTATTTATTAAATGGTGAAAGTGATAAGGAAAATGGATCACCTCAGTGGAGTAGACCAACCCAAACAATGTATACGAACTAAGGAGCCGAATACCCATTCGTATAAACTATGGCAGTGACAAAAACTAAAAGAGAAACTAGTTGTATTAGTTAAAGAACTCCAACTTCCTTCCACAACTCATTTGGATAGCATCAAGATAACGGAGTTGGGTAGAGGAAATTGCTTCAACCGAAGGTAGTATAGAATATGGGTACACACCGATCACCTACATGCGATGAAAATACTTTTGAGGCAGATAATAAAACGGATAAATTAAAAGCAAACGGAAAAACGAAATGAAATTAGCGTCATCCATAAAAGCGAGTGTTACACAGCAGGTAGGAGAGAAATTCAAATTCTGTTGGGCAAGGTTTCGCAAAACATGAGTTCCAAATTTTAACTCTCACTGAATTTATATCCTAAACACAATAGACTACTCCAAAAAGGGCTCAAGAAATTAAGTACTTAATTACCAAGTAGTTGTTAAGAGAGAGTATTTTATTCAAGAGACTGTAACCATTATTAGTTGTTAGAAAAAATAAACTAATATCCAAACTCAAGTTTTATAACTAATTGGAATGTGAAAGATTAGAAAGATATCAAGAACTGAATTACCACTAATAAAAGTGCACTGAATTAGGAGTACTCACTTTGTGATGTTTATGTATATAAACATTACTGTTGATAATGAAGTATTGTCGATGCCGCTTTTCATCACAAAACCTAAAGGTGATGTATTGTCAACTGCAATATCTAAAATTCTTTGAACACTGTTTTACCGACCATTAGACGCAAATAATCAATAATAGAAAACTATGGCAACTCAGCTAATTATACATGAAGTTACGGTTTGTTGGCTTAATCATTCGACTTTAGGTCCTCAGTTTAAATCTCTCTTCAACTACTTTAACTTGGAAAATTAAGTAGTATCACTAGATCCCGCACATTAAGTTTGACTCATGACCTGTTACACAAACCTGTAGCGGGTTAATAAGTTATTATTATACTACATGCTTGTGCGAAGTTCAAAAGGATTCTTCATTAGTCTGTTCATGCAACCAAACATTATGTTATGTTCCACATTAATGCAAATTTTAACAGTATACAAAACGCTAACTCTTTCTGAACTTCAACAATGATTTAATGTACGATTCCTTCACTCAGCGTTTCGCAGATCATCAGCATCTTCGTCGTAAGCGAATTGGTTGCACTTCATATGGATACTAATTATCAAGATAATACACAGACAGTGCAACTAGTTTAAAAGAAACTAACCCTTTCATTGTTTCATTACTTTGCTAGTCTCATATTTTGTTCATTTTGTATGGCAAACTTGCTGCTGCTCATGCAATACAAAATTTGTTTTGAATATGTAAGTTATGAATATATATATATATATATATATATATATATATATATATATATATATATATATATATATATATATATATATATCACCAATTATTAGTTTTTGGATTCTAATGTATTGAACTTTTAACTCCTACAAATACTCAAGCCCAGGAATATTTCAAACATTTGTTACTACTCAGAAGTGACAATAAACAGTCAGTGTGACAAGAGAGAGAAACAAACTTCAAAAGCTACTGACAGCAGCTAGTGATCAAGTAAAGTCACTGTGAGGAAGCTAATTGACTGCCTGATCCAGATACCGAATTGCATGTTGTAATAAGCAAAATACCATCAATTCTCAGTACAAAAAGAGTAAACTGTGACTCATCATTTTCAGCTAGAGGAACTGAATCATACCCAAACGATATCATTTGATAGACTGAAACTCGCTTAGCCTGCAAAACTGAGGTTAAACCACCCACAACCGAAAATTAAAAAAGTCAAAATGCATTCAGTAACCCTGTGTAAATTCATGCAGCAGTTAATCAGCCACATCTAAAGTGCGCTAATGATACTATCTGGCTGTCAGGTGGAGCTGGGTTCAACATCACGACTAACTGATTTAAAGACAACTAGTAAAAGACAGTTTAGCGAAGATTTTTCAAAAGCTTAATCATAGCTACAACAAGAAATATATATCCATCAGTGGCTAATGGGTCAATATAAGGTCATCAAAAATGGTCAGTAAAGTCACAAGGTGATGAAGGTTAGAAGGTTAACTCAAGGTCATCAAAAGCTGCTCATAGGATTATAGTAAATAAACCAAGAAATGAATAAACTGCCTTAGGAAGATTACGACCAAGGCAAAATTAGAGATTGGATGTATCTTTTCTGAACACAGGTTTGTGATGCTGGATTGCCAGAGGTTCCATTGTGCTAGGGTGGTGAGTACGCACTCGCTTCGAAATATTTCATTTCATCCCATAAATGACTGAAAGAAGACCCTCGTGGAGCACAATGACCAGAGATAAATAAGTGGTCAAGAATAGAGGTGTTGACGGATTTATACCTTCCTTTAGACAGCCATGCAGGATAGTGTTCGACTTCGTTAACTGCATAAGAGATGTCAACATCTGTGGTAAGCGTATGTTATCATCGGCCATCACAACGCTCTGTACAAATGTCACTTTGATGGAAACAATCTGCTTTCTACGTGGTTATATTGGGATCAACAAGTTTGAAACTGAGATTCCTAAAACTTTTCCGGAGGAGTCGCTCTTACGATGCACCTTGAATATATAATTTAGATTCAATAATGATTCAATAATCAACAAATAGATGGGGTAGCAATGGGTTCACCATCCGATCCTCTCCTAGCTGATTGCTTCATAGCCAAACTGGAGAACAATAAACTACGTCCAATGATCGACCAGTTCCATCCATGAGGGACACATGGATGACACTTTCATCACCTGTGAGAAGGATAGTAACCTTGAAGAAATACTACGAAAGTTCAGTGAATGCCACAAGTCAATTAAATTTACGATGGAAACTGAAAATAACTCAGAATCCCACTTCTGTAAGGAAATCGATTTACAGAAAAAACAAATCTAGAATGGACTCATTTTCAAAACTGGGTTCCAATAGTCAGGAAAAGAAATCTAATCCCTTCAATATGCGCACGAATTAGAAGAATTTGTACGGATGATGCGGTAGATAACGAGTTGGCATACCTCGAAGAGTGTCAATCGAGAATGCTTATCCTTCGAAGTTCACTGAGAAGAATATGATGCCTCAGAATCTCACAGAAGAAACCTTTGCAGTTCCAACGAAGACACTGTTTATGAATATCAAATTCAAGGGAAATACATTAGCAGAGATATTGAGGAACTGCCTGTGTAATGCACCGAAGACCTACTTTCCGCTCAGCTTCGAAATGTTTTCTCCAGTCAACAACTGGTTCCAGGGTGTATGAGGGATAAACTACCGCTTTGAAACACCGCCATGTCTGTTTAACACTTCACCTGCTCTTGTGGAGCTGGGTACATAGACTGCACAAAACGTCTTCTATTCGAACACGTCTTCGAACACTTCCTACATGGCTGTCTAAAGGAAGGTATAAATCCGTCAACACCTCTATTCTTGACCATTTAGTTATCTCTGGTCATTATGCTTCACGAAAGTCTTCTTTCAAAGTCATTTATGGAGTGAAATGAAATATTTTGAAGCGAGTGCGTATTCACCACCTCACTATAATCCTATGGGCAGCTTTTGATGACCTTGAGTTAACCTTCTAACCTTCATCACCTTGTGACTTTACTGACCATTTTTGATGACCTTATATTGACCCATTAGCCACTGATGGATATATATATATTTTGTTATAACTATGATTATGATGTATAGCTTTTGAAAATGACTTGTTGAAAAAAAATCTTGTCTTTTATTAGTTTTTCATTATGTAGTGGGACTATTTCGATTGTTTAAAGATAACTGTACAAACCAATGAGCGACATCTCCATGAACCCATAACCAATGGGTGACAACTCAATTTATGAGGACTGTGAACAACAATTATCATCATAAAACTGGCAATAGGTAGAGGAAGAAAATAATCAACATATCCGTTAAAGACTACACTATTATCATCTAAAAATTTGATTCTAAAGCAGTGGACCGTGTACCTAAATTTTACTTTACTTACTTTATTTACTTACTTTACTTACTTACTTTACTTACTTACTTTACTTTATCTGATTTGGGCAGTAGGGTACTACCTAAAGGGGCACACCTAAAAGATCAGTATGAACTCATGCTAAATAGTTTAGACTTTTTCGTTAACTGTAAGTATTTCTGTAAAAAGACATCCCAGCATTGGATTTATAGAAGATTATAAGCTATTACTTAGAAATAAGTGATTATAAGGAAATTTTTGGTGAAACACTGATTGTATAACAAATCCCCACAAACCTATACACTGAATTACCATCAAGTGCTCATTAGTGATATTCGAGATGAAACTTCCTGAAGTTCTAATGAGACCGGTGTGGCAAAAGAAGCCAAGTGAAGACAAATACTTAACGATTGTATTGGATGAAGGACGCTCTATGTCACAAATTGACGGAAATCGGGAAATATGGACCACTGTATTCTGACTCAGTGGCTCAATGGCAACGTGCTCGCCACAAAACTTGAAAGCACTGGGTACACGCTGCTGTCCAGTGCCTCCAGGTTTTTGATGGTTCTTTAACTGATGTTATTATGTGATGAATATAACCTTGAAAGGTTTTTTAAGGCTTAAATACTTCAAAGAGGAATATAACGCGAAGTAAACTAAGTACCCAGGATTAGAACAGAGAAAGGTGAAGTAAAACGTGAATAAAAACATACCCAAAGTTCAGGTTCCATACAAAATTCATCGCTTCTTGCAGTCAAGAAATCATAAGTAGGCCCAAAACAGCTATTTAGCGTGCTCATTAAACAAAAGAAGTCTTTGGTTGAAAGGGCTAGTGCTGAAGACTTAGGAGATGATGAATCGGAAACGCTATCGTCCAAGTTCACAGAGGTTTCAGACCGTCCACGTTTTCTTCCACTCGAAGGATTTCTAAGAGGAGACAGACTGGGAAGATTCTGTGTAGCCAAACGAAAATAAAATATAAATGATGATTCTAGTATAATGACGAAATCTGTGAGTAATGAAAGGATGAACCTTTAGCAAGTTATCAAATAAGTAACTGGTGGATGTAAGTAAATGTATTTTCTAGTTACATGTTTAGAGATGGTAGTGAAAAGTCGTGGAGCTGAGCTCTGCGTTTGATAACTATCATCATCAAAGCTAAATTACAACCATGAAGAAAACTCATTTTTCGCTACAGATTTGAACCCCGGTCACCGATTGTTGAACTTAAAGACTGACCCCTTGCAAAAGTGAACTATCTACACATATTGCTAGCTGGCGTAATTGTTAAGTTATATTTGCTGGTCGAAGTTTGTCGATAATTTCAGAAACAAATATATTACAGACGTTTTGAACCAATTAATTGTTTATCATTTTAATGAACGAAAATTAAACCTAGATAAATTCCATTATATTTCAAAATTAACCAGAAGATGGGGAAAAATGACTTCCAATATTCTCCAATTGAATGTTACTAACTAGTTTTTATACTGTTATATAAAATGCAGATAGGCATCTATTAGGATGTTACCAATCTTCTCACAGTTATTGAAAGCATATCAAGTCCATAACATAGATTGATCTTACCACGAAATGACTGTTAGGTTCAAGCTTAGTATCACAACTAGCCGTACTTGTAGGGTTTCCTAGTATGAACTGCTTTTACATTCACCGGTCATCTGTAAAATCCGTTCTTTAAAAATTATAGCTGAAAATCACACAAATTCAACCCAGTAATCGTGTAAAGGTTTATATACAGCCCAAACCTATTAATCGAGAACTCATACTATAATCTAGTTGTACAAACGTCAAAACCATTACTGAAATTCAAGTGGGATGGCAAGTCATATTTCTACTTATGGAACTAATTGTCTAAAGACTATGTTTACTTTACACACTTCAGCACATTAGATGTTACTTTCAGCTTCGTAAAAGAATCATTATACAGTGGCTGTTGAGCTGCATAATTTATCTTCTCCGTTGCAATACTAAGTAAAATATCTCAGAATAGGAAATGTCACTCAATGTTGTTAAGGCTTTAAGGAGGATAGAGACCAGGTCGAACAAGTTAGGAAGGACAAACAATCTGAATTACTTTCCAAAAGACATACTGTATCAGTCAGTCATTAACAATGTGAGACCTGGAACTAGTGTGTATCGCTTCAAACTGTCATTCCTCACTACATCAAAAGTCAAAGCAACAAGACAGAAGACAAAGAAATTAGGGTAATATCAAGTCATAGAGAGCTACAAGAAATGAATAGGGGCAAAACAAATAACGAGATATGAAATAATGGATTAGCTGAAATAAAGGTTAGCGTCTTTACCCAACATCACTGTTATCTGCGTACTCTAGGTTATTTTACAAGTCTTCAGTAACCCGATTATTACGTTATATCAGATGAGAAGATGAAGACCTTTATGAGCATGTCTACCACAAAGTAAACATGTAGAGAGTTGAATTACTTGACGGATACTAGTTGATATACACAGTGTACCTGATAGCTCACCATAGGTTAACACCCCAACAAGTGTTCCAGTATAGAACTTTTAAAAGAGTAATGTACTTACCCAGCACCCCTTTCAATGAGATACTGCCATAAGAACTCTACACAGACGAAGTCGAACGCTGTCTCCAGTGTTATGTCACTATGGTCACACTATGCAAAATCAAACGACTGGTTACAACCATCTACGAATTCCCAAGTGGCAGTAAAATCCTGAAGTCCGACAGAAATATGGAAAGCTCAAATTGCGCACCTTCCACACATAATGAGAACACTAAAATTTTGAAGAGGTTTGGAATTTGATTAGTTGGTTACGTAGAAGTGCTCAGAAATGGTGTTCACTAGGCAGTAGCTGGATTTCGTCTCATTGCTCACCTTCAGCCTTCCCGACATGGTTGAACCTAGGTCGGTATAGCCCTCAGGATCATTGCAATACACAAGCCCGTCTACCACGCCAAGGTACCAGCCAACAGACGGGTTGATTTCAATCATGAACACTTAGATAGCAAGTAATCACTAGTAAAACAATCTTGACTGTCTTGCGAAAACTGGAACCCACTTTTAAAAATAAGATCCTATACAAATAAAAACCAGTTGCTATGTATCAGTAATTCAATATAAGCGCTGTGGTGTTAAGTATCAACTGAAGTAAATTAACAATCCCCATTAAGACATAAAACATATATTTCAGCGAAGACAGTTTCTCTTTGCGACGATTTCATTTTCAAAAGCTGTACAATTGTATTTATATATCAGATGAGATAGACAACAAAAAAGTTGTTTGTGTGCCTACTTCAACTTATGTATAAATACGACTGTACAGCTTTTAAAAATGAAATCGTCGCAAAAAGAAATTTTCACTGAAATCAACTTAAGTGGCAAAGTAGGATACACAACTTCTATTCACCCGTGTTTTAAGATAACTTAATAAGAAACTCATTAAACAATTCAGTAGTTCATGGTATGATAGAAAATTGCGTGTAATCAACTTCAAGAGAAAAATCCTATCCAGTGGACACTGTGCGAAAACCATTCGGTGAACCTTAAGAAACGGCATGAAAATACAATACGGTAACTCAATAAAATATAGTAAACTAGAAGTGACCGTTGGTGATTGATCTTGTATGATACTCATTCGGAATGTTTGGGGATCGATGACTTGTCCAGTTAATTCATGCAAATCTCGTAAAGTTTGTGATGATCCAAGGTAGAGGGTAGGAGATTCATGACTTTCAGCACCATGCAAACGAGAGACTAATTCTCTAAACTGACGTTTTTCTTCTGAAACCATTTTGCATGAATAACTTTCCAACCTGCAAAATTGAGTAAATAAATACATGAATGTGTGTACATGTTAAGCATACTTAGTGGGTACAAATTATAGTACACAAACACCTGCATAGAGTTGAGTCGCATGACTGCATTGGGCGTGGTGTGCGGTTTCACAGAGATAAAACGCGTACTTAATTGCTAGCTGGAGAGACAAAACTAATATAGGAGTATACTACTACTAACCAACCATTCAGCGAATAATATGAAATGGGCTTTTCTGTCATTAAAATCCTCAGGTTAGGGGAGTTATAATATCAAATAATGTTTATTGCGCTTGTTTCTTACACTGATGATGCGGTCCCATGATTAAGACATATAGTTATCACGGAATTCACCCAATATATTAACTTCGGTGAGCATATTTGTAAACCACATTTAGTCCTTGTTTTTTGTTTGATATTCCTCGATTGCTCAAAACTGGTGCAGATATGAAAGTACGTTATTCGTCGTCAAACCCAGGTTTCTAAACTGAAGTATAGTTAACTCAACGGTTATATGCTATCGACGAGAGCAGATGCCAATAGAAATTAGTTCAACAATGAATTGATTAAAGTTAGTGAATTGCTACGGCTAATTTGACTAAACACAGGACTATCAAACCATTTTTCCCCATATCTCCAATGACATTTGGATATTAGAAGCACAATTTCGCAAAATTGTTACGTAAAGCATGTGCCCCCAGGATATGATTTTGCAAAAGAATAGCCTTGAACATACAGGATCTTAGGTAGGATTGCTGGAGGAAGTCTATAGGTGGCATCAATTGTCTTATGCACGAGAGTAAAATCTTTTTGATGACTAGTCTTCTATTGAGAGATGTGGGAAGAGAAACTAACTTAGAGAGTGGCTAGAAACAACAGAATCTAGTGCTTAGCATGCATTAATTAAGGTCTGAAGACAAATCCTATAACAAGACTTCAACGACCAGAATTTCGCTGAAAGCTGCTAGAATACCGGTATCCTTAGGGAAACAGACAGTAGCTGGCACAATTTTTACGTTAATATATATTATAATTTTCGCCCAGACAAGTCTCAGAAAACCCATAACATATTCACCGATAGTTTTGTATTATACAAACAGTTTAGTGCAGTACTTCAAATATTATAAACCAACATTGTGGAGTCTCAATACCTTAGTAGATTACCTAGTATTATTTCCCATAGTTCTTTATCATGCTTCAAGTACATTTCTTATACAACGACGTTGTACTCCAAACATAGGCAGGTTTATGCGTCATGTAAAGTTCACACTGTGAATGGTAAAGTGGTTGACCCTACAGAATATTTTCAGGATAGTTTTCACTCTTTGTAAGAAGAGTGATAAAAAGGAAGTACAAATATCGAAGATAATGAGAAGTTTGAAATACTCATAGCGAAATCACTTGTATCATAGTGACTGATTTTAATATGTGCCCTTGTCACGAACCTAAATCAAGCAGCTTAAATGGCTCTAATCAACAGTTAATGACTTCACAAATTAGTCTCGCCTTTCTATTTGGTCAATCCAGCTATTTTCCAAGTTAATCCCAATTAAGTACGTGGGAAATAGCCCAAGATGCGTAAAATATGACATTAATAATCAAGTGGGAATATGTTTGTAAGCTGATCAATCGGCTTACTTTCCTTATGTTGTACACACATAACCTCAACACTATTCATGTTAACTTCAAGATACGCGAGTAGTGTTTTGATAATGCAGACTATCGAATCCGTGCCTATGCAGGAGAGGCTAAACACTCATGGTTTTGACAGGCAGTTGGAACCTTGACTTGGTGATCGGGATTCTATATCACAACGACCAAACAAGTTATACCGGTAGGTATAGCATAAATAGTTTGCGATAGATATTAAGAGGTTAAATCCTAGTGCTGATTCGCCGCAAGGTGGCAGCAGTAAGTAATTTCTGTGGATAACGAGGAGTCTATGCTGATGCTGTCTTCCTTATGGAAAGGGCGATGTTTACAAAAGATAAACCCTGAAAATAGCACACTACTCCTTTCCCTGTGGTCCTTTCGATATGTGCTGATGGCTATTTCAGCTGAATGCAAAACTAGAAAACTTGAGTCTCACTGTTACTAATCCCTTTCGTTTCTAGGTAAGTTGAAATAACTCAGGGTGTAGACAGCGAGGAAGCATCAAAAGCCCACACACTTCCGGGAGTATACAAAATCCAACCAACCATAAATTACTTTCCTCAACTTTGTTTCCTCTCTTGTTTTCCCTTCCTGAAGCCAACATCAAAGACACTACGGTTTCACCAACTCTCCATCTTGTAACCATTACTGACGATTCAAGCTAATGAAACACCATTCACAACCCCCTTGAAACACATTGTCCATTTGATAGTGGAGCTTTCAATGTCTGAACCCTGACCCAAATGGGCCAACAGGCCTTACTTCTCTCTTTGATATCACTCTTTTTTTTATCCACCTGTTCTTTGTGTACTAATTATGTGAGGTGTAGCAACCTGAAACGATGCGCAAGGTTCTACGTCGATTTCGTCAGTCAGGAATCTTCAGCTGTGGATGAAGGCTGTTTATACGACAAATACAGGGGTTAAGTGCGGCTTTTTCACCTGACCTCAGTTAACCAATAGGCAGGGAAGAAAGGCCAAGCATAAAGTCATCTTAGAAATATTTATGGTATCCAATTTCAATGGATAAGCAACGGTGATCGACTCGAAAGAATCTTGTCCCACCAATCACTTGTTTCCAGCATATAGATATACTCATTTGGTCTTCACCAACACCAGACAGATCATATTACTGCCAGTCATCGTTGGAATAGATCCACGGGAGGATGGGCGCTCTTCCAGTAATACATGCTTCCAATATCATTACGCGCGCCCTTCCATGAACGTAGAAAGCGCACATCAGTGAAACCCCTGTGTCCTCAACTTGGAGATGAGAACGCCAAGCGCGTATCTGAGAAGAAACCTGAGCATTTATCTGAAGATTGCAGAAACCATCTTCCTTATGCAGTTTGTCTTAACATTCAGTCTGCTGTAGAGACAGTGGCAAAGGCAGTTGCTGGCCTACATCCGAAGGTTAGAAAAGAAACGGGTTTCTACAATATATCACTGAACTGATCGATGCGAGAAGGCTCATTTCGGTTGGCTGACTACAATGAAGAATGACAGCAGCTTCAGCGTAAATCTACTGATAGTATTTAAGCAGTGAGGAATGAAAAAAAGAAATGAGTGAATCACCATTAGTTCAAACCCGGAAGTTACTCAGGCTTATCAAGGATACTAGCAAGAAGAGATTTGCTGAGACCGTCACCGAAAAGAATGGGTCCCAAATAACCTTTCAGTACAGGTGATTAGAACGCTAGACAACAATGGAGAACAGCTGAAGTGGCCTACATACACATTTACACACACTATACCAGTTAAGGATCTGGCATTACTGCGTAACAATCCAAGTTGCTATACTTCATAATAAAACATCAAGCGAGAAAGCACTAAGATGAAAGGTTAAAAAAATAGAGAGGAAAGCAGACAAAATAGGTAGGTCATCAAAAGATGACAAGGAACAATTACAAGACACTCAAACTCAGTTCGACGATTAAGATTAGGATAATATGTGGGTACATCTGTGCCACTCACATAGACTCGACTATATCACCCGGAGTCTCCAACCACTGGTTTTCGTTGTCATGTGGACCCCAACCGAGTAGTCTACATTTCCCTGCAAGGTTCAGATCAACAGTCAAAGATATCACAAACTGATGCTATGTTTTAGTCTGATGGCGCCTAATCTTTTTCCAGTTTGACACTACTTCAGTTACCGTCGGGGGATGAGACATAGTGACTAGCCATGCGTAACATGTCCCAGTTGCATGAGCCAATGAATGTTCACCTATTATTAAGCGAGGCACTAACGAAGACAAGTCCCGGAGCAACAATTTACATTTGGATGGTGAGAAACGCATCCCAAATTTCCTCAAATTGTCACTCAAGATGTCCAGAAAACTCAGCTTATCACCAGCTTCACTCAACAAGATTGTCATCTGCATACTCTAGATCTACCAGTGGGTCACGGGTTCGAAACCCGTCAGAGGTTTGGGCAGTCACGCAGTACCACTAGCCCTCACACAATAGGTATGGCTCATTACCTGCTGCATGGATGCTCAGTGTTTGAGTGCGTTTCCTTTCACTGTGATAGAATTGATCCCTGTGAAGTCATAGGTTGAGAAAGAGATCTTTATAAGTACGTCTATGATAAAGTTAAATACGAATAGAAACACTAAATATTCTTGACTCATACCATTCAACGTACAACAGCTCACCTAACTCATCACGGGCTCTAGCACGCGCACGGGTGTTTAAGTATAGAGCCTTTAACACAGTGAGGCACTTATTTGGAACTCCTTTGAGTGAGAGAGACTGCCACAAAACCTCTCGACCGACGGAGTCAAACGTCATCTTCAATTCGAGAAAATAAGGCCAATGTCGAGCGTCGGTGTTACGGGACTTACGAATGGAAATAGAAAATCACTTGGTAGCTGAGAGAGCCAGTGTATAAGAATCAGGCAGTTCGGTCAATCTGGTCTAGGTGGTCAAGTATTCCAGTTTATATGAATGGAGAGAAGTCCCCTTGAGACAAACACAGGGGAGTTACTGACCAACATCGTGTCCACGATCCCGAGGTCCCTAATTATACAATTCCTAACCGGAGACGGAAAACAACAAACTCATGACTAAGTAGGTTTTTGACATGAGTGGGGCCAAATCGACCAAACCTCTATCCTTCAACAAGCTTTAGAACACAAGCATAACCACAGGTAAGAATGGATCGGAAAAACGTTAAGGGACGCCAAACAAAGTTGTATCACCTGTTCACGAAGTCTCTGTTGGTTTGGGTTAAACAGGGAGCTGTCGTGTGTCCGACAGAAAACCTTGATACGAAAAAGACGTTTTAAACTCTTTGGTGAAATGTATGGTAACGGCTTACAATGAAGATGAATGCATTCTATGTCATCCTAGGGGTCTTCACTATTTTCTACAACTCATTTATTTATCCTTTTAACTGCTGTACACTTTTGGCTGTCTTAATACGATTTACTCTACTCACTTCTTGTTTGCGAGTTGCTGCGGGGTGTGGAAACTTGGGACGATGCGCTTCTATGTCTAGTTCTACATTGGTTACTTTGTCTGGTTTATGATCACGATTCTGATGTTTCACTGGTACTATAGATGACATAAGTATTTTAAAACGGCTCACCATCTAAATTACTAGGTGCAGGGCTGATGCAACTTTCTACTTGACTAGACCTGTCACCGAGTGTTATTATTTATCCTTAGGCTAAATGTAGCAAGACATCATCTCACGCCTAACGGGTTCACAGAACTTACCACAAACGTTTTGGCTGGAGGCATTCAAGAAGTTAAACTTTGTCATCACTTTAGTTCAATACTGTGTTTTCTTAGTACTTTAAGAGGGTCAGATACTTTTCAAGTGGTCTTGTAGAAGTTGAGGGCAAGAAGTTACGCAAGCCTTCAAGAGCCAACCCACATGAAAGGACATCTAGGAAGTCTTTGGCAGCACGCAAGGGTGTATATCGTCAGTTTTTATCCCAACATGACTCAAAGTTCCCCAACTTAATGAGTCAAACTAAATTGTTTTTGGGCTTGATTTAGTAATCTATAGCTACTTTCAATTATCTGCACTTCGAATGACCCAAGAACAAACAGCACTAAATGACATATATAAAGACACACAATGGTTACAAATCTACACTCTGACCCTTTTAGGGAAGCTTTTATCCTTTGTTTGTAGATAAATACGGCTTTTGATATATTTTGAAATTATCTATCCAACAAAAAATACCAACATAAGTATTCAAGTCACTGCTACAAGAGGGATGTACCATACCAATATTATCAACGTATTCTTAACACTTCACATGAGGAACGGAACTTCATCAATCCCATCAATACATTCAGCGTACAGATACTGACATAATTCACCACATGACAACAGTATTCCCTACCTTTCCTGGTCATATACCTTAAATCCTGAAGTGAAGCTTTCGTTGCAATTCTGCGGCTTTAAAGCCGCAAGATAAAGTTGACTTTCATGGTACGAATACCTATAGCTGTGGAATTGCAAATAAACTGGTACCAACTAGTAGTATCCCAAAGGGTCATTATGATTCCAATATACTTATCCCATCATTGTATATTTGATATTAATGCCTAAGGTGACTAAACCAATGTATAAAACCTTTAATTTTTCGTAGTTATTGTAACATACCTGGCATCAATCTTGAATCGTTTACTAGCACTACTCAGTTGTGAGCTAAGACATTCTAAGTTAACTTGCTCTAACAGTTTCATTGTTCAAAACAATTTAAATGCCTCCAATCGCGGTGCCGCCATAGAGAATACTCAATGTCTGATCCATTATAACTTCAATCGCCAATACACCATATTTGTAAATATGTATATTTTTGAGACTTGGACACTATTCTGACTCGTCATTTATCAAAAGCTAGGGTAGCATTGCCAAATTTTATCAGGGTTTCAATGCCCTGAAGTTAGTCGTGAACTAAGTAACCTGATAGTATATATCTAACATAATTACTGAGTGAATCGAGCGCTTATCACTGGAGGAACAGAGTTTTAGTCATAGATACGGATACTTTTTGCTGATCAATGTCAGCAAGAATGAAGCCTAGGTCCCGGGCATTCTGCTTTTTGACTGCCTAAATCTAACATTATAATGCTTCATTTCCTCTCCCTTAACTTCATATGTCTGAGAGACTAAAGTATCTGAACGAAATGCCTGGAATCAATCTGTAATAAGGTTCAGTCAAGTTTTTCCTTCTCAGTTCCGAAGTACGAGTAAGTTATTCAGTTTAGTCAGCCTTTAGTGATGATTTCTGACTTTTCTCAAAACCCTCATGTCATCAGCAGAATTACGGGGAAGAGACGCAAAGTTAATTGATTTAAGTGAATGAGGGCAAAAATCAGCCTCGAATTAGGCTTCCATCCACTCAACCAGGGAATATCACTTTTTTCTACATGGCACCTACAACTTCAGTAGGCTGTCATCCTAATAAAAAGACAGGTGTCAAGCAGATGCCGAACTGACTCAGATCGGTAGAGTGCTTGGACAAGCAACAGCCGTATGAATTTCGGAGATCAATATATAAGACTTTTATTCCATCCAGTCAACAAATAATTGTGGTTCACTTCTCTGCAACAGTAATCAGTCAAGTAATACATGAACATACTTCCTTGAAAACTGTTTTTCAAGTGTATGAAAGACATTTGCCGCTAATTCGCTGCATAACTCACCATTCATAAGCGACTCAAGTACTTTGCAAGATAAAGACAAGGGCAGAGAACGGCTGTCGTTTGTCAAACCTTTTCGCTGACCGTTGCTTATGAAACTTGTAAAGCGCCTAGCACTCCAAGGCTCAACAGCGTTTACCACCACCCCACTTCCAGAAGTCCTCACCAGTATTATGATCAGAGTGAATGCATGCAGGATCACTATTCTTTCATGACTTCCACTTGTGCCAGCACAAGTTCTAACTACCCATGGGCTACAGTTCTCATAGTGTTAACTTTTACAACTGCGTTTTTATTGCAGAAACCATATAAGTTGGTCATCGGTCGAAAAAGTGCAGTGCGGCTTCTGATCAGCCATATAGGATAGACACATTCTCTTACTGATGTGATTAAAATCATTCACCCAGTCTCAGATATCAGATCGACACAAATGGTGGCCAAAACATTTATCGTACAAAAGACTGAAATAGATTCCAGAGATTAGGTGTGTTATCAAACATCGACATAGCAAAAGTGGGGACTTCAGTACCAAAATTTTTTTGTACGCACACGCGGGCTCGCACTTTTTGGAACGGCAGACCATGAATAACAAAAAGCAGGCCAAAACTCGGGAAACAATGGTAGCGCGAAAATGGAAAATATACTGAATACCACTGGTGTGGTTAAAAACATGAACCAGCACGACCCCTTACGCATACAGAACACATAAAATGGTGATAGCCAGAGCACTGTTTGGACAAACGACGGGGCAGTTCACTCATTAACTCAACTGACCGAAGCCTGTACACTGAGACCCAAGATTGCTGTTGCCTTTTTAATACTCCACACGCTACTGACCCGCTTTCACTCGATAGTAATGAACCAGGGAATGCTCTGGACCAAAGAATACAAACTTATGCTTGTGAGTTCGAGGTGCGCAGATAGAAAACTTAGTATTTGTCATCAAAAAGAAAAAAGCATTGAGCCATGGGGTAATGTTCGGTACATCGATGTATGCAATACGAGCTGCCTGCTGGATAGGCTTTCTCCTGGAGTGCAGACATCCTCTTTCAACATACATTACTTCCGAGGTACCATGAAGTGACCGCAAAGTTGTGCTGTGTGTGTCGCCACTCCATTCTTCAACCAGCAATGCACGCATTACCTCCACTCCTCCACAACCGAATTGGAGAAGTTATACTAGGACAAACTGGGAGTTGAGCTCCTTCACTGATTAGAAGTAGTGAATGGGAAACATATTTCAACACAGTTGATCTAGAACTTGCATTAAATATATTAACATAATACATATATTATATATAAATGTATTCCAAACTATACACCCAATGAAAACATCAAGAAGCATTTTATACTTTTGAATATTCGTCGAAAACCGCGCATATTCTAGACAGAAAACTCCAAGCATCATGGCTTCGGGTCACTTTTATCCCGTCCTAATGTCCTTAGCTACATTTAGTAATAAGCAGGAGACGCTAGCCAAAAGTGATGGGCTAGCTAGCTTCTCCACAGTATGTGCTTCCGTTGAATTCCTAAAGAAGCTGTCGAGCCAGCGAAAGCATGAGATTTTATTTTCTGACCCATGGTGGCAACGCTTATAAAAAGCAGGAATGAATAAGTGAACTATTCAGTAACATGTTCACCGCTAGCCACTTACCGCCAGTAATCTCCAGTAATAATGTGAATTTCGTCAAAATTAGCGACCATTTCTTCTCCACTACACAGAAGCCTATTGCGCCACTGAGTTCTCAGGTGCCAACATCAATGGAGCCACTGAAACACCGAAGTTCTGTGAGGGCGCAGGTGCTGACGGAGTTGCTCCATGCCGCTTCAACAAGGTGAGGCGTGACATTCAACTATTGTTGCTAAGATTATACGCCATATTCACGGAGACCTTTAAATACCCAGATATTTGGGGGATATCCCCCACAATAACTAGACGAAAATCTGGTTCTGCAACCGAGATAAGTAAAAACACACCTATAGATATTGTGCCGGTTGTGCCTAGAACTATAGATAAAGCAGTTTAAGAAGATATTCCTCAGTAGATTCTCAACAATAGTGTCATCACATCTAGTTAGCATGGATTCTTGAGGTCATGATCATATATGATCTGTTACCTCGACCTCGTTAACTTTTCCGCCACTAGCCGTGATCGAAGTCAGTTAGTCCTCACCCTTCGTTTCGACACCTCAGAGGCGTTCGACCAAGTGGATCGTTCGCTGCCCATCGAAAGGCTACATGTCATTAAACTGTTAACCCCTCGCTAGGCTGGATTAAATCTTTTCTTGGTGACAGTCCACCAGCTGCAATTATAGAATCTCAGCCTTCCATACCTGGGCGATTACCTCGGGTATAGTTCAGGGTAGCGCGTTCGGCCCTCTTCGTTTCACCTTTTGCGTCAATGACCCATGCAGATGCCTTTCAGCTGAGAAACCGTTTATGTCTGTTGACAACTTAAAGATTGCACACACATTCTCGTATGACAATCTGCCCCACTTCTGAAAGCTGACACGGGGCTAACTTGATGTAATAACCATTTGGTCCATCACAATGAACCCTTAGTTCACCGCTGATTAGTGTGGCTGGATATCCTGTTGGAAATGCTCTGGCATACCTATTCGTCTGCAGTTTCTTCTGTGGGCCGCAACGCTACATGACCTCCGTTGCATCCTTGAACTAAGGTTCGGTTACGATGAGATCCCCATATACTCTGAAAATATTGCCACATGGACCCGTAGGTTCATGGACCTACCAGGCTGTACAATTCGCAAATTTGACAAACATGAAGCCAAATTACCGCTGTAAAACACCTGCGTTCGGCACCTGTTACATCTTCATCACCAATGGTTATGTATTCCGGACGACTATAATAAGCACGATTAACTGACAGCCAACTTAGTAGTCAAGAGCCACCGACTGCAAACCGGGATGAATAGTGAGAAGACCGGAGCTGGATGATGTTATTTCTCCGAGAATATCATAATAGATCGATCCTAAAACACGTGAGTACGTACTCTTATGAATGTGACCTTGTCCTCAGTTTGCGACGTTGGCATAGTAACAGCAAGGATTAACCAATCAAGGGACTAAACTACAATGGGGGCAGAAAACAAACTGCTAGTCATACCGCAAAAACGGCATGAGATTGCCAAGTGGCAAATGTTCAGATCAATAACAATGTTTTATGTACATCCAGATCCTCACAATGCCTCCCCTTTCGGAAAAAAGGCAGAAAAAATGATACCGTTGCTTTTTAGGATCCGGCCGGCGCGCTCCTTGAGTAGTGACGTGTTTCGCTCGTCTCTCAGCTTTTGGATTTTTCCACAATGAAAAACTCCCACTTGCAATACTCAATCTAAAAACATAGAACGTTTGCAGCACTTCTGTCCGTCCACGCACCTCACCCCTGCGCATTCGTCAGCTCACTCCTCAACAGTTGAAAATTGGCATTATTATTCCTTTGAACCAACCGGTCTACCTCCTGTCAGTGGTTCTTGGGCGTTTCAGCTGCCAAACTGCCTTAGCTCTCGGTTCTCCTCGGAGGTCATTCCCCAGGAAATATCTTCCCTGGTTATACATACGCATCTGGAGCTTACGGTTAAACTCGTTGGTCAAGAGCAGAGGATCAAGTGACAAGTGTCTGAAGGTGAGCCAACATAAATTATCTTCCCTTTTCTATTCTGTCCTTTTCCTGCATTCAGTCTTCAACCCTCTTATTGTTGTTAACTACTTGTTTTCCCAAGAAGTTTATATCATAGCGACATGTCTGCCCAAAACGCTAGGTCTGAAGCTTTGACACGGATAACGCGGTCGTGCACAACAACGGCCAGTAACACCCTAAACAACACACTAGTCTGTACTAGAAGACAAACAGAGGTAGGGCAGAACATCGAACTTCTGAAGAAGTGGCCAACCCATGTTTCTAGAATTCCAGTAGCCATCAGACAGGTGACACAGAGTAGCACTCACCCGTCACAAACTAGTCCTATCTTGAGCAAGGATCATACCATGCCTGAAAATAGAAGACGACGTAAAAGGCTTCAGAACAAGGCAGCCACAAGCAGTTCGCCACAATCCGTAGCACCTTATTC